CTGACATGGTGATGTAGCTTTTGGCTGTGCCGATTCATCGAACACAACAACGTTGCCGAGATCTGCCAAACCAGCAGCGATTGTTGTCGGCGACAGCAAAATCGATGTCTGATTGGGTCGGCTATAAAAAAAACATTTTATGGACAATGAACACTGCAAACTAGAAGTGTGTAGTGCATTCGACCTCTGGCGCATTGCAACCTAAAGTGTGACAGCTCCGGTACGGACGCAAAACTGTCGATGATTCCCTCTTCCAAGACCTGCTTCAAGAAGAAGCTGAATGCAACTGACTGATTACACCTGTGCATGCCAAGAAAGCTTGCCTACATTGCTAAATTCAGTGAATTTTCAAAAATTAGGCCTTCCTAATGATTAGTACTGTTGTGCTTTACGTTTTAAACTACCAGTGAACTGGCAACGATGTGGTTGACAGCAAAATGTCCACTGTGGAAGGGGAATCAGTAACAAAATTTCCGTGGAAGGTACGAAAACAGCTCTTTTACTTTATTTCACTTCAAGATAACATCCAGGAACACATCAGTAAATGAGACAATGCCACTTTTCGCCATCCTACCTTTCTTTCCCCTCCATCCTTTCCCCCTCCCCCTCCTCAGTTTTCATTTGCTATCCTCTTACACGTTAAAATAAAGGTCTGCCCCTGATTAGTTCATTTAACACAAATAAGTGTTTTTAAAATAAGGTCAAAAAACAACTGAACAGTAAAGCAATTCAAACCTGGATGCCGAGAAGACCTTCTCCAAGCGATTATCAGTCCAGTACATTGTCTGTCCACGCAGTGAAATACCCGCCGCTGCAGCAATGTCGTTTCTCACCAGCTCTGGTGTACCACCATCAGCACGAACACGATATATCCCTGCAAAAATAAGGCAAATAGTTAATGGATATTTACTAAAAGCAATGTGAGAAAAAATTACTATAGAGAAAATATTATCTGTTAGATATAGCCAAAAAAACTCCCAAGACACTAGTGAACGCGTTGTTTTGAATTTTTTATGCGTTTTTGCCTATATGCAAATTGCAAAAACGCATATTGAGACAACCCCGTCTGTGTGTATATGTATGTGTGTGTATGTGTGTGTGCGTGCATGCTTGTGTGTGTGTTCGTCTGTCCGGGTATTTCAACTCGGCAACCAAGCAAGTTCCAGCGACGAGATT